CAGTATTCCACCCATGTTGGGGGGCACACACCAGTGTACTCCTAGTATCCCAAGCCCTGATGAATGGGGAACTTTGCCTCAGGAAGTGCATCTGATATAAATTAAGCATGCAAATAATACAGAATGAGATTTCCATTCATACCGGATTGGTTAAGGCCCGGTTTAACAACGAGTGCTTTCACTGCTGGTCAAAACTGTGCTACTGTTGGTAGAAGACAAAAGAAGGAAGGCATGCTAGGGGGCAGTGAGAGAGAAGGAAAGCAGTAGAGGTGAGAGGACGCATTTAAATGTAGAGACTATGACTGGTAAAGGCAGAGTGCTGGCTAGTATCATAGAGTGAAGGAAGACTGGACACATATATCCTGGTATGCATTGTCTTGGTGAAAAATTCAAGGAACACCTGGATGAGAGCACAAGTTGCTCTAAAACCTGTATGTACTTATATTATAGGGTACATATGGAGACAACAGAGACAAGACATAAGTTTGCAGAGAAAACATATAAAGACAGACAACCATTCACACCTACAGCCAATTTAGAATTACCAAACAACCTAACCCATGTGTTTGGACTGGAGAAGGAAGTTGCTAACCACTACACCACGGACTATTTGTTTTTAAAAAAAGACTTAAATAAAATGCAGACAATAATGCATTCTTAAGCATGATACTATTCCAAACTGCAGATTTATAGACATATTTTCATTAAATGTGGTGCGTGAGCAGACTGCTGATTCTACTGTTTGCTCAATCATTCGCTAGATTAATGAATTTTTTAACCAACCAATCAGCGAAAAATGCATTAACCTTTTTGTGCTTTTTTATATTATTATTATTGTTATATTATTTATATATTTTTTATTTATAGACTATAGAACACTTAAAAAACAGAAGCTAACTCAAAGTGCTTTAGAGACAGACACATTTAAATTATAAGTCTCCAAAAAACAAAGAAAATAAAAGCAGAGGGGTGAATTTTGTTCTGTTAATTACTGTAAAAAGAAAAATCATAGTGATTTAGTGATCATTAAAAGAAGGAAAAAAATGCAAATTGATTATTATTCTTTTCATAACTGCTCTATCCTATATAAGTGGCCTTTATAGTTTAAAATAATAATTTTCAGTATTGGTAACGGCAATACTTGCCCTGTATTTGCTTGGTATCAGACTAATGAGATTGAAAATGTGACGTCACTCAGGGGTAAAACCGCAAAGAATTCTGGGAACTCGTGGCAAGAGGTACTAGCGCACGCAGGCTTTCAATTGAAATCAGTCACACAGCCATAAAAAGAAACACAAAAAATGTCAAGAAGCTGTTGTATTATTAACTGCAATAGCCGGTCGCATGACAGCCACGGGAAGCCGACGGGTAAAGAGATCGGTTGTTATCGGATTAAGTCGTTGAAGAGAAATTGTTCGAGCCATGTTTCCGAAGTAACAAAGAGGCGACTGGATTGCAGCCATTCTCAAATATAAGTCCCAGAACACTGCAGCTCACAGGTTAGTCTGCTCCAAGCATTCCCACAAAGGTCAGTCTGCTGTTGTAGTTAATGCGTCATTTTTCTTAACATAATTGGTGATATAGGTTACAAGCAAGTCTGGCGCTGAACAGAAATATGCTCCTTTATTTATTGTGCATAAATAGTGAATTGTCCTGACACAATATTGTGTTTCGCTTCTGTTATTATGGTACATTGACAAAAACATATACTTTTATTCACAGGATGAAACAGTTGTTTTGTATCACTAATTGCCCAGTACGATTACAGCATACAGTATTATTGTCACTGCTACATTTCTGTAATGAACCAGAAATTATTTCCACTACTAATTAATTACCATTGAGCTCAAAGGTCCTATTAATAAACGGTTAACGAATGTGTATTTATGAAGACGATTTGTGAGACTGGTAAACTTATGATACGTACGATGGTCTTTACTTTCTACACGGTGCATTTCAAGGTCCTGTACCCATCCGTCGGTAAACTGTACCTGGGCTTGTTGCAGTGACCGGAAGTTACTAAACTTCACGAGTGTATGCACTCACTCCAAGAACCGTATGATTATAAATATGAGCGTGGTGAAAGTTGGGCAGCACGCTAACGTATTTTGTCCCTCTGTGTGCTCGTAAGGGTCTGACCCTTTCACTGGTTTGATTTTTTTCCTCGTATCTTTTCTTTGACTTTTCATCAAGTCTGTCTTTGTACAGACAGGTGTTGTGCCAAAACCGAAGTCTATTTACGAACATAAAGATATGACACATAAAAAATACACAGAAACATTGGAAATCAGTTTTTGGCAGACAATCACTTTTTGGCACAACACCGGCATTGTTCTCCTTCGTTTTGTACATACCTTTTTGGTGGGGGGCAAAGAAAAAGCAAGAATTTATTGGAACCGAAGAATGAACGTTTTGCGGTGCTGCAAATGCTTGCATTTGATGCGGTACTATGATTGTTTTGCCACGAGTTCACGGCATGCAATGCGCGAAAGTCACGTGGTCTGTCAATCTCTATACCCGATTTTGAAGTATCACACGGCACTGGCTGTTACGTGTTGACGGGGCTGGATTATATGACGAGTGTGCTCGGAACCATCGATTTGAGCCACCCGGAACAAAAACGTCGTCGGACCAAGCTTTTTTCTTTCCCCCCATTTTTAAGTCGCGTTGGTTTTAGTCATTGTCATGAATAACAAGTGACGTTTTTAACGTGTCTGACGAAGAAAGGAGAAGTAGTAGAAAAGAAAGGACACCCCCCTATATTTATAGCTAATTTCTGATTGTGTGCGATCGAGTGCAGTGGATGAACAGGATGGAACATGATATTTCAGAAGGAAAATCTACTAACTCTTCAGGTAAGTTTTCCTAGCATCACTGTAAAGAGTTGGTTTTTAGTCAGACAGTCTGAATAACAAGCTGCTTATGTGGCATTTTAACGGAGGAGATATTTCACAAACGCTGATGAGTAGAAACATTGGGGATTTAGTGTCGAATAAAAATAGCACAGTTATGAGTAACACTGCCTGCATTTTCTTGAATAGGCACTTTATGCAAATACGTGCAACATCTAACATAGGCACTGTCTACAAATGAATTTGGTATTAGTTGTAGTACCGAATTCAATTAAAGTGAACGCTTTCATTTAAAGTGGTCTCTGCTTCCGTTCTTGATGCCAGGGATTCCATAACATGTTGGAGATGTTTGTCGTGGGATCTTTTGACTTAATCTAAATGCACTGTGGTGGAAATTTTGCAACAAACTTATAAACGGTTACAATGGACCATGTACCAGCTTTCATAGGAAGAGAGGCTGTCTACACCTTGGGCAGGTTTCCAATCTATTGCAGGGCTAACACAGAGAGATGGACAAGCAATCACGCTCAAATTCACACCTATGGCCAGTTTACTGTAGAATCACCAGTTAACCTAACTTGGATGCCTTTGGACTGTGGGAGGAAGCAGATGTATCAGGAGAGAGCCAACACAACCATGGGGAGAACATAGAAAGGCCCCAACTGGCTGGTTGATTTGAACCCACGACCTTCTTGCTGTGAGGCTGCGATGCTACCATCTGTCATGAGCATTTTAAATACTTGCATTCTTAAATGTGACACTCTGACCAAAACTCATTTGACCATAAAGTAATAGTAGACTACAGTATGTTGTATTTTTCAATTGTGAGTAGATTTCAAACAGATGTATAGATTTGATTTAATGTTGTATGGTAAATGATAAATGGCCTGTATTTGTATAGCGCTTTACTAGTCCCTAAGGACCCCAAAGCGCTTTACACATCCAGTCATCCACTCATTCACACACTCATTCACACACAGGTGATGGCAAGCTACAATGTAGCCACAGCCACCCTGGGGTGCACTGACAGAGGCGAGGTATGTCAACAGTTTATTACTGGCCAGCCTACTGAGTACTACAGATGTCTGTGTATTGTGCAGGCAACGGGTAGAACATGCCTCAACTGACCAGTGGATTCCTTCTTGCTATTAGGCGATAGAGCTAAACACCACCATATACATATGAGTTTATTAAATATGTTGTGTTGGCTCTCTCCTGATACGTCTGCTTC